CTACTCCCCATCCCCTCCTCTTTCTTACTTACTCCCCTCATCATCCTCCCTCCCCATCCCCTTCCAGTCCTCCTCCGTCGGAAAAAAACGCAGGGCAAGACATGCTGGTACAACTACGGACAAGACAAACAAGGACGGCAAGGGAGAGGACAGGGTAAGAAAGGGTAGAGATCGCATCCCACCAGCCCGTCAAGGCGTGAGTGAAATAGCGAATTTCCAGTTCCAACCCCCTTCTTCCCATTCGGGGGGGGGGTATCAAGCACCCCCCCCTCTCCCAGTGCCAGGCACCCGGCAACCAACCCAGACCAATGCGGCAACCCCACCACCATCCCTGGTAACAAATAATTGCAAAACGCACGTTGTCTCCAAATCTGGAGCATGCGCGGGCGCCCCGCGATCACTTTGCATTGGTTCTTGGAAGGGGCGACGGGGGTGCCAGCGTATTGCTTGTTGCGCGCAGGCCAACCATTCCTGTCGAAAAACAGCACGGCATCCTCTTTGGCTTCAAATCTAGACATGCGCAGGGCCCTCTTTTCTGCTAGCTCTCGTCTGGTTCACGACTCGTCAAGACGTCTCGATTCGTCCCTCAGTGCTGATGCCTGCGCTCCCTGGAGGAGCCAGGCCTTCTCGCAGAGTGCTCGGCAATTCGCTTCGGGGGGATTCGAGATCCTGAGCAACGCCTTGGGGCCAAAGCCCAATGTACCTGGGGTCCGTCCACCTCCTCCTCCTCCTCCTCCTCCTCCTGCTCCTCCTCCTGCTCCGTCCTCCTCTGTCCTCCTCTGTCCGCCTCCTCCTCCTCCTCCTGCTCCTCCTCCTCCACCTCATCTTCCTCCTCCTCCTCCTCCTCCTCCTCCTCCTCTTCCTCCCTGTTGGTTCCCCGCAGCTGGCGCACCTGGCGAGGCTGGAGCACGTGGCACAGTTGGCGCACGTGGAGCATGTGCCGCATCTGGCACGCTTGGGCCTCCAGGGTGCCTGGTGCACCTGTTGATGGCCCCCGAGGCTCCCAAAGGTGCCCCAAGACGGCCGCCTCCAAGATGCTCCCCAAAGGCTCCCAAGAGACCCCCAAGAGGTCTCAAGAGGCTCCGAAGAGGCACCAAAGACTCCCCAAGAGGCCCTCGGGACTGCCAAGAGACCCCCGAAGAGACCCCGAGAAGCATCCAAGAGGCATCTGGCCTTCCTGCTCGCCCTCCTCCTCCTCCTCCTAATCCGCCTAATCCTCCTCCTCCTCCCTCCTCTCTTCTCCCTCCTCCCGCCTTCCCCCCCTTCCGTCCTCCTCCTCCTCCTCCTCCTCCTCCTCCTCCTCCTCCTCCTCTTGTCCTCCAGTTCCACCCCTATCCTCCCCCTCTTGGGGTACGACAGCTTCCTAGCCTTTATCGCACGGCGTGCTCCCCCACATGCCTGCTCAGGGCAACTCGCCTTGGCATCGTTTCTGGATTGACTGGTTGGGTTGCGCGAAGCGTCTCGGCTAACAGCAAGAGGGCCAGAGAACAACAAGAAGGAGGAAACAAGGCGGGCCGACACTCTGCCGCTACTGTGCCCGATCGACGGAATAAAACCTGCGGCCACTCCAGCGCCCCCCGTCCGCCCAGAACACCGACCGAGGGCAGCTCCCCTGCGATCCCCCGAACAACGATGTTCCCCCCATACCTACGCTGCCCTGTTGAACTACTGCACTCCTGGACTTGGTGGCGCGCACAGAAGGGGGTTAAGGAGAGGGGGGAAGACTTATTCGAAAGAGGCTGCGTCTTAGAAGGCGCATACCTATGGACGAAGCAGGGGTGCTTCTTAGAAGCCTTCCCCCCCTCCACCCCGCCCCCCTCTGCGCATGGCCCATGGGCCTCCCGACTCGATCCGGGGTGGCTGGCTCTGAGTTTAGGATAGCTGTTCGACAGCGCCTGGGCCCAAAAGCAACCCCAAATGGCAAACACAGAGACTTTGGACACCCGAAATGGGTACGAAAAAATTGGCACAATGCCCAACAACAAAATTTGTCCCAAACCAACGGCGGCCGCTGTTGGGCAGGCGGCCTTCTGTCTCAAATGAACACAGGCCGCGGCGGCGTGGACAGCAAGTCCTGTCCAAAATGAACAGGAACTGCTGTTGGGCATTGTACCCATTCTTTCCTTACTCATTTCGTTCGCGCCGAGGGGCATCCGAAGGGCACACCTGCCGCAAGCAAACGTCGACCAGCAGACGAGCGGACCACAGCGCCGCCCCAGCACGGTGCACCGATGATGCGAATATGACCCCCGACGAGGGATCCCGCCCTCCCTCCTCCTGCTCCTGCTCCTCGTTCCCTCCCCCTCCTGCTCCCATCTCCTCACCTTCCCTCCTCACCTTCCCTCCTCCTCCTCCTCCTCCTCCTCCTCCTCCTCCTCCGTGCTGCTCCTGCCCATCTCTTCCTTCCCATCCTCATCCACCTGATCCTTATCCCTCTCTCTCCCCTTCCTCTTCCTCTTCCTCCTCCTCCTCCTCCTCCTCCTCCTCCTCCTCCTCCGTCTCCTGTGTCTCCTCCTCCCTCCTCATCCTCCCTCCTCCTCCTCCTTCCTCAGCGCATGTTCGGCAACCTCCTACCTTCCTTTGTTGTGCGAAAGGCGCAACGGGAGGGTCCAACCCGAGACTGCTGCTACGAATCAGAGGAGATATCATAATCGCAGTGAGCTTCTTTGGGCCGGCGCTGGACGCCCCTCTTGATGCGCGCTGGGAAGGGTGCCAGAGGAGCCGTTAGGGGTGGCTGGAGAGGGTTGTGCAGCGCTGTCTCACGAGATCCTCGCGGACTCGCGAAAACTTCATGCGTGTGCCGTGTTCGACCTTCTAGACGGTGCGCCCCCAGATACAAAGTCGTTGACGGGAAAGGAACCCTCGCGAGGCATCTTTGCAAGAGCTCTCAGGCCGGTCTTTCTGCGGTGCGTACAGCTCGATCTGCGGCTCTCAGGAGCCCAAAACGGAGAGATGCTCGTCGTGACCATTTCGACGACGCCCAGATGTCCGAGGGAGCGCAGGGAAAGAAATGACGAGTCCCAAATCTTTGATGTCCCATTTTCTCACAACCCGGCCGGGACCTCTGGTTGGGCGTTGGTTCGTGGGGGGGGAGAGGGCGATACATTGGGGGGGAGCACATGCACCTTTCGCGCCAATGCTTGGCCCCAGGGCGCCCCTTCAAGGCCTCTGTAAGGCAGAGAAGGTGCCCCCTTCTTCACCCCCCCATTAACCGCCCCCTCATTACGTGACGCCCGAGGTCCAGTTTTGTTCACAGAAGGCCCACCTCCTCTGACTAAGACGATTCTCGAACATTCCTCGAAGCCCAAGGGGGGTGAGCCTTCTGAGAAGGCCCACCCCCCGGGGCTCGCCGCTGGGAAGGCGATCCTCGAACCTCGGCCCCGGCGCGCGCCCCGTGCCCACCCGGCTCCGAGCTGCCGCCCCGCAGCGGCACGCCGCAGTGCTTCCGTCGACGCGGGCGCTCTGTCTCTGGACTGCAAAGCAGAAAGGGCGGGGGCCGACTACTGTCGGGGAGACGTAAGACCCGGGTACGGGGGACTCGGAAATCCCCGACGAGGTCGTCAAAAAAATGACGAGGCCGAGCCTGCATTTTGACGAGGCCTCCCGCTGCAGACATCCCAAGTCGCGGTCGTCAAAAAACGATGGCGAACCCGAGTCCCGGCAAACCCGGGTCTTACGCTCCCCCGATACTGGGGAGGGGTCTTCTTTGAGCGGCCCGTCTGCGAGGGTCTGAGGTGGCTCGTCTGGGAGACTCGTGACCTCCCCCCCCCCCCCCCATCGTGATATGAACTCTGGAGTGCGTCTTCGACGGTGGACCCCTTCGTGCCCATCGGCGGCTGGGGGCCGATGCCTCCGCCCATCGGCCTGCCCCCCCTGACGGTGCCCCCCCTCTTTAGGGGGAAAACCAAACCTGCCTCGCTTTTGACCACCCTCGCTTCCAAGGGATACCAGACGATGCCAAACTGCGGCCTCTGCTGGCCAGGCCGCTCGACGAGGAGGCGCGTGGCATGACTTGGTCTTGCCTGGAAGCGAAAGCGGGGCAGGCAACTGACGCCCTGACTCTTGCTATGACATCTGGAGTGCGCATTCGACCGTGGACCCCTCCAGGCCCGTCGTCGGCTGGGGGCCGATGCCTCCTCCCACCGACGAGCAGCGGCCTCCCCGCCGGTCGTCCGGCGGTCTCCGGCGGGGCGGAAGCTGGACAGCGGCGTTCCACCACGGGGCCCAAGATCTGGGCGCCCGAGTCATCCGGGGTAACTCGGGTCCGGGGTAGCTCGGGCTCGGATTCCCGAAAAAGGAGCCCGAGTTAGCCCTGACCCGAGTTACCCCTGATGATGTGGGGCTCTGGGCGCCCGAGTTATCCGGGGTAACTCGGGTCCGGGGTAACTCGGGCTCGGATTCCCGAAAAAGGAGCCCGAGTTAGCCCTGACCCGAGTTACCCCTGATGATGTGGGGCTCTGGGCGCCCGAGTTATCCTGGGTAACTCGGGTCCGGGGTAACTCGGGTTCGGATTCCCGAAAAAGGAGCCCGAGTTAGCCCTGACCCGAGTTACCCCTGATGATGTGGGGCTCTGGGCGCCCGAGTTATCCTGGGTAACTCGGGTCCGGGGTAACTCGGGTTTGGATTCCCGAAAAAGGAGCCCGAATTAGCCCTGACCCGAGTTACCCCTGATGATGTGGGGCTCTGGGCGCCCGAGTTATCCTGGGTAACTCGGGTCCGGGGTAACTCGGGCTTGGATTCCCGAAAAAGGAACCCGAGTTAGCCCTGACCCGAGTTACCCCTGATGATGTGGGGCTCTGAAAGATCTCTCGCCGTGTGGGAATTCCAGCAGCGCGCCACCGCTGAAGGAGCACCAGGACCTTCGGTCAAACACACGAGCGCGCCACGTGCGATGGGGCTGCCGACGGCAGCGCGCCTCCCTCCCGAGGATCAATAGCACCCACGGACACGACGGCTCGTGCAGAGGGCATTCTGCGCAGAGAGGCCGCGCGCGGGAGCGCCTGCTCCCCCGCGGCGGCGCCCGGGCCCGCCATGCGGCCGTGCGCCGCCTGCGTGGGGAGGGTGGCTCTCTCGGCGCGCGCGCGCGCCGCTGGCCACAACGTGACCCCAGCTCCTCTCTCCATCTTGGGGCCCCTGGGGCCCACTGCAAGCTCCTCGCCCTCGCCCTGTCCCCCGCCCTCCCGCCCTCCTTCCCCATCCAGCAATCAGACAATATGGATACCAATCGCCCTCCTTCCCCGAAGCTGTCCTGAAGATCGCCCGCCCTCTCCGTGTATGTTTTTTGCATACACACAAGAGCTCAACAATTGATGTTTCGCATGTGTTTCACAATCCGACTGTATCCGGTGTCTCAAAACGGTGCTCCCGCGGCAGCATGGGCCTCATTTTCGGATCGGCGCTTTGCCCCCGTCGTTCAGAATGCCGCACTCGCCCCAGCGCGGGCCTCTTTTCTGGATCCGAGTCTCGCTTCCCTGTGGTCACCCCCTTCATTTTCCCTCCTCCACCTTTCCCTGGACCTCATGTTCCTTCGGCTTCTTCCCCTTCAATTCCTGCTGCTGCCGCTGTTCGTCTCGCCCCAACGCGGGCCACTTTTATGAATCCGAATCTTCTTGATAATCCGCCTTCCCCTGGTCTTCCTGGTCTTTTCAATCCTTCCGCTATAGTTCCTGCTGCTGCTGCTGCTGTTCATCCTCGCCCTTTTCCTCCCGCTCATCGTCCTGCTCACCCGCCTTCTCCTCCTCCTGCAGTGCACGCAGCTCCCCCTACTCCGACTGCGTGTAAGACGAAGTGGTCTTTTTCTGTGTGAGCCGCAGGTTGGCTATGATGCGCGCGTGCGGGTGAAGAAAACTCAGCGCCATGGGGCGGGATGGGAGGGAGGGATAGGATTTCAGATGAGGCACGAGCGCACCTAGCTTACTCCAGATTTCGTAATACAAGGGAGGGGGTCTGGACCCTCCAAGACAAGCCATTTCAGACCTCCCCCGTGGGAGAACCCTCCAAAACATCGTCCCCAGACCCCCCCAGGCCCTGAAGAGACCCCCCCCCGAAATGAGACCCCCCTCCCTTTATTACGAAATCAAATCTGGAGTAGCTTATTCGTCCCCCCTCCTCCCTTCCCCCCCCCCTCTCCGGGCCTCTCGACGGGGCGCCGCGCTCTGGGTGCCGTCCTCCGCCGAGGTCGCCTTTCTGTCGGCTGGCCCGCCCGGATAGAGGAGCGGGCCGTGCAGGTTCAGCCGCGGACAAGACCAGCCAGGCACCGGCGAGCCGAACCGAAGCGCCCCTCCCTGCTCAGTTCGGGCGTTGCTTGACGGGGGCGCAGCACTTTGGGGAGGAGAAGTTCGTGCACCGTCCGGTCCTCTCTCTCTTTTGGGCCCCCTGGGGGCCCCTTTTCGGGTCCCTTTAGGGCACAAAAGGTGAACCGTTCTTCATCCCCCCCCCCCCCCGATTTTGAACCGTTCTTCATCCCCCCCCCCGATGTATCGCCCCCCCCCGTTGCGCAGCGCCCTCTCCTCCATCCTTAGCGCCGCTGCAAAGCGAACTTTGAACACTTTCCCGGAGAATGCCCCAACCATATGTAGATGTGCGTAACGCGTTGTGGGTGCCGCTTCCGGTGGGCCGCGCAACGCGTGATGGGGCGTGCCGGCGTGCAGTAATGGGTGGGGGAGACGCATGCGGGCGGTCCCACTGGGGCCTTCGGTGGAGCTCCCTGTGGGGCCACGATCCGCTGTCGTGGATTGTGGAGACGCACGCGGGCGGTGCCACTGGGGCCTTCGGTTCAGCCCCCACATGGTGCCACGACACGCTGCACTGGGTGGGGGGACGCATGCGGGCGGTCCCACTGGGACCTTCGCTGGAGCTCCCTATGGGGCCACGAAGCGCTGTCATGGGTGGGGGGCGCAGCGGTGCCACTGGGGCCTTCGGCAGAGCTCCCCGTGGGTCCGCAAAGCTCTGTACCGGATGGGGGGGGGGCGAATGCGGGCGGTCCCTTCGCTGGAGTTCCCTATGGGGTCACGCTGTACTGGGTGAGGCGGACGCATGCAGGCGGTCAACCTGAGGCCTTCGGTGGAGACCTGGGGCCACGAAACGCTCTACTGGTTGAGGCGGACGCATGCGGGCACCCCCCCTGGTGCCTTCGGCGGGGCTCCCTTTGGGGCCACAAAGCGCTGTACGAGGTGTGGCGGACGCATGCGGATATCCCCACTGGGGCCTTCGGTGGAGCTCCCTATGGGGCCACGAAACGCTGTACTGGGTGTGGCGGACGCATGCGGGCACCTCCACTGGGGCCTTCGGCGGACCTCCCGATGGGGCCACGAAACGCTGTACTGTGTGTGGCGGACGCATGCGGGCACCCGCACTGGGGCCGTCGGTGGGCATCCCCCATGGTGCCTTCGGCGGAACTCCATATGGTGTACTGGGCGTGGCGGGCGCATGCGGGCACCCGCACTCGGGCCTTCGGTGGAGCTCCCTATGGTGCCACGAAGCGCTGTACGGGGTGTGGCGGACGCATGCGGGCACCCCAACTGGGGCCTTCGGCGGAGCTCCCTATGGGGCCACGAAGCGCTGTACTGGGTGTGGCGGGCGCATGCGGGCATCCCCGCTGGGGCCTTCGGCGGAGCTCCCTATGGGGCCCCGAAGCGCTGTACTGAGTGTGGCGGACGCATGCGGGCACCCCCGCTGGGGCCTTCGGCGGGGCTCCCTATGGGCCACGAAGCGCTGTACTGGGTGTGGCGGACGCATGCGGGCACCCCCGCTGGGGCCTTCGATGGAGCTCCCTATGGGACCACGAAACGTGTGAGGGGTGTACCAAAGTGAAGGGGGTGATGGTAAAAGGAGGAGGAGGAGGAGGAGGAGGAGGAGGAGGAGGAGGAGGATGAGCATGAGCAGGAGGAAAGCGGGGACCGTCTCTTCAAAACGAAGACCCAACACCACAAAATGGTTTGGACAAATTGCTGTTCGAATTCCCGTTTTTTCTCAAGTGCCCTCGGGGATTCTTTCGGGGCTCTGTTGGGCCTCTGTGGGGCTTCTTGGGGACCCCAGCCTCCTGGGGGTCTTCTGGGGCGAAGATCTCGGGTTCTCGGCTCACGTTCCCGATCCTGGGCCGCGGTTAAGGCCTTCTCGAACTGTCTTGACGTCTCTTCAGCGCTTTCGAAACCATTGGGCCGTCTTGGGTCGCGTTTGAAGCCTATTGGGCCGTCTTGGGGCGGTCCACGGAGCCTCTTGGAGCGTTTTGCAGCGACGTGAAGCGGAACAGGCGGCAACGCTAAAATTGATCAAAAACCTCTGGAACTATATGGTCGTTTGCTTCTTCGAGCTCTGTAGGGAGACCTCTTGAAGCCTCTTGAGTGTCTTTGGGGCCTCTTGGGCCGTCTGGAGGCCGTCTTGGGCGTCTTGGACCATCTAGTGGCCTTCGGCCCATCCCGCCATCGTGCCTGGGCTGTGGGTTAGAGGCCTCTTGGAAAATCGTTTGAACTTCGTGGGAGGCCTCCCGTGGGCCTCTTGAAGCCAGTTTTAGATGTCCCTTGGGGGCCGTTTGGGGTGCTGGTGGGGCATCTTTTTGGGCCTCTTTGGGATCTCGCGGGGCCTCTGGTGGGCCTCTGGGGGGCCCCTTGGGGCCTCCTGGGGGCCTCTTGGGCGGAAGGCTCGAATTGTCGGTTCGTGTTCCCCCTCTTGGGCCCCTCTTGGGCCGTCTTGGGGCCCTCTTGGGCGCCCATTGGGCGCCTATTGGGCCGTCTTGGGGCACTCTTGGGCAGTCTTGGGACTCCCTTGCGCCGTCCTGGCGCTCTCTTTGGGTGCCTCTTGGGCCGTCTTGAGCTGATTTCTGGGGCAGCGCGGGCTGTCTTGGACCGTCGGGAGCACGGAAAAGCGAGAACACGGGAAACCTTCAAAACCCTCTTGACAAAACCTACTTGTTTCGCCTCCTGAGGGCCTCGTGTGAGTCCTTTTGAGGGCATCTTGGCTGTCTTGAGGCCCTCTTGGGCTGTCTTCAAGCCATGTTGGATAAAATTTGAAACGCTCTTGTGCGGTCATAGGCTCTCTTGGAGTGCTCTGGGGCCATCATGGCGCCCTCCTGGACGTCTCTCGGGCCCTCTCGTCGCCCCCCTTCCCATCCTTTGGCGCGTTCTGGCGCCCCGCGACGAGTCCAAAACGGCCGGATGCGAAATCAGTGCGCTCAGAGGCCCCTGGGAACCCCTCCCCATTTACCTCATGTGTTTTGTTGTTGTTGTCTCTTTATTTATATATATATATATATATATATGCACAGATATATGAAAGAAATACGAAACAGGACAGAAATTCGCTGGCCCAACGGGCCAAGGGCGTACTAAGATCTCATACAACCGGTTAACAATATTTCTAATTCGCGCGCGCGCGGGGCCTGCCCCCGGGGTCCCCAGACGAAAAATACCCCCGCAAGCCCGGCCAGGTCCCGGCCAGGTCCCGGCCAGGTCCTGGGGAGGTCCCGGCCAGGTCCCAGCAAGCTCCCAAGAGCGCTCCAGGAGCGCATCAAGTGGCCTCGAAGAGAGCTCAACATGGTCCGAGACGGTCAAAGAGCGATCCAAGACGCCAAAGATTGCGGTCAGACCGCCCAAAGCGCCTTCAAGACGCCCCAAGAGACCTCCAAGAGACCTCCCAAGAGGGCCCAGAGAGGCAGAAACTTGTGATTTGTCTATGGTTTCTGACGGTTTTGGCGTTCTCGCCTTTCCGGCTTACCGGCGCTCCAAGACGGCCCAAGAGGCTTCCAAGACCGCCCTAAGACGGCCCACGAAGCCTCCAAGAGGGCCCCAAACACAGCCCAAGATGGCCCCAAGACAGCCCAAGAGGCGCCCAAGACAGCCCAAGAGAGCTCCAAAAACGGCCCCAAGAAGGGGACCAATAACCGAAAAGTCCAGCCTTCAGCCCCAAGAGGCACCCAAAGGGGCCTCCAAGAAGCATCCGAAGAAGCCCCAAAAGGCCCCCAAGAGGCCTCAAGAGGCCCCAACACGGCCCCAAAGAGGCCTCG